AAAAAAAAAAAAAAAAAAAAAAAAAAAAAAGTAAAATTCCGAACTAACACCAATAATAGATGACTGGATCTCGGTCAATATTTTCGTTGCCAATTTTCACATAATGCGCAATAGGGCGCAGCGATTGAGGAATCTCTGTTCCGGAAGCCATTTTTCACCACATCATTCAGCCAATTCTTCCGTCAAACTGTAAAAAAAGCACTTTATTTAAAAAAAAAAAGACGTAAGATACCCAAGCACTGAAATCGTTTTGAAAATGCTGGAAATATAGCTATTGCAGCAATTGTTAGCGACACGTAGGCGCAGGAAACTTCCATGAAAATGAAATTTTTATCAGTTTATGATCAATTCAACAAAACTTCTGCTCAGTCTATAAAATAAGATACAATTATTCATCGAATAGGGTGCATACAGTATGTTATGCGTTTAGTTAGAAATGGGAACAAATTAAATGATCACATTAAAAATTGTAAAATTTTTCATTAATTTTGCAAGTGAAGAAGTGAATTTCACTTATTTTTAACACAACAGAAACAGCTATAAGGTGGTGTAAAGGATCACATCAAAAAGATACTACGAGAACTGGGATATTATGTGGATTTAAGTGAAAAAACCTGCTGAAGTTTCATGGAAATACAATAGTTTCACGCAAACATTTCAATTTTAAGCAAAAATTTTCCATACAAAAAACTAGCTTTTAGAAAGTTAACTACCACAGAAGCACAAATTTCTTTCAAGTTCAAGGCCGATGGTGAAATTTACAAAAACAACGACATTGATTTCTCATAAATGTATTTAAGGCGCTAATCCAGAAAGACTTCAGTCTATTTACAAAACAAACCAATCGCGCTTTATGAATATAAAAATCTATGCAAATTTATGCGGATGAATTTCTGGCGTGTAAGTGAACAGAATGAAAAATACCCAAGTATGCAACAGTATACAATAAAGAAAGAAGAAAAACCGAAATACCGGACTTCGCATGAAAAACGCCAAGCGTTGCCTGAAAAAAGTTCAGAAATCTGAAAAGAAAAAGGGTTATAACAACAAATCCGGAATCCTAAAAACAAGTTACGGGAAACCCGCGAAAAGCCGGCTAAGAAGCCGCCACAAAGAAAAAATAAAAAAGGTGTATTTTGCCCCGAAAAGCAGATACACAACAGACGTGCTGCCACGCTGGACCTGAAGCACAAGGACGATGGCGCAGTGGTAACATACTGCGCCCGGACATGAAAAGACGTGGTTCGACTCCCTGCCGGTCCAGGACAATTTTTGAAAATGGGTCATTCAGCAATACTTTGGAAGTTGGGTCATTTTACGAGCTACAGTTCCAGTTTTCCCATTGACAAAACTTTTGATAATTCCACCTTCCGAGGGTTTATTGACAAACAAGCTGGAAACAGAACGACTGTCTAGAATATACGGCATTACTGGTTCCAAAAACAAAGGAACCGGGCTAAAACTTGACAAAGAGCAATGCAGAACACTAAATCAACAAAATGGCTCAAAAAACTAAGGAACTTAGGAACTAAGGAATAATACTTACCCTAAATGATCAATGATGTCAACTGCATATTTCGCCATACGTATTGGTACATTATTCGAACGCCCGCTTCCAAATAACGATAAGCCTGGACTCAATCCGTTTCCGTTTTTTTCATGCATTTCTATTGAAACAGCTTTAATCGCTGCCGCTTCCGCATTTCTATAGGCCCGCTAAAACAGAATATTTCATACAACAGATATAAAAGCCCAGTCTGACGGCTCGGATTCAAAAACACACAATCTTTATATAATTAAATCGATACGGACGTGCTAAATACAGTACCGATTTTTTCACATATGTATCAGTTCCAGCATTCTAAATACTTCACTTTGTTCATTCCTTCTACTGTCAGACCTATAACTAATTGTAGCATCCAAGTTGACCCTGGAAGCAAGACGCGATGGAATACAGAAAGAACAGCATGAGAAAAGAAGGTAAGAGTGAGATAAGACGTTCTGGACTATTAAGCCAACTCAACACCGCGGGACCTCGTTAGTATGACGATCGCAGTGCTTTAATAGAAAAGGAATAGAAAAGAGGAAAGGAAAGAAGGGGAAACGCTATGATTGAAACAACTAAAATACTTATGTGAAGACTGTGATTTTCTTCGGACTGACTACCAAGCTCAGTAGTTTTATGCTTACAAAAAGAGGCAAGACAAACCTCGGCACGCTCCAGTCTCAATTCCAGCGCTCTTTTTTCGCTTTCCAATCTTTCAATAGCTGTTTGCTTGGCGATTAGTTTCTCACCCAAAAGTGACACTTTCTGCTCCATTTCACCTGCTTCATATCGTCGACTTGTCTTCTTTTCATCCATCAATTTCATTAATTCGCCATCCTTTTCAGCCAATTTTCGTTCTACTGCTTCCTCTTGCCGACGCATTTCAGCTTGCAAAAATTCATATTCCTAGAAAAATGTTAGATGTTCGCAAAAAAACTCCCAAACTATTCGGAATCTCAGTCCCCTAAATTTAATGACATAATTCCGCTAGATAAATTTTTTAGTAGTTTGAGAAAGCAACCGATACTTTGATCAGCTGTTGTTTCATCGCAAAGCACCTGGCGCCACCGGGGTAGCGGGCCAAGTAACCTTTCTGTGCTTTTGTTCCTGATGTTACATCGACCAATAAATCAGACTGCTTGTGATAGTAACTTTCAGTTTTTTGCTTCTTTTTTCTAGTTTTGCCAAAAAACAAAAAGAATCACGCTTACACGATCCTTCAACCCAGCTCTTAACAAATTCCTGTGTTCCTCTATACTTATCACAATCTCCAAGAGGAGGTATGCCAGGAGTTAATTAGACAGATTTTCAAAGACACCAGGACACGCAGATAAAGAAGGTATTACCTCGAGGTGAATGCTTAATTTCACTCTATGTTTAAGGACAAAAAAACCAACAAGTTGAGTTCTTTCGAGCTGTTCCCTGTACTGGTTTGCCTGTGATAAGTGTTGATGTATCTGCTCCAGTAGAGCTTCTCGTTGAGAACCAGAAGCACGTTGTTCGTCACGCAATCGATTTTCCATTTCCTGAAACAAGAAATTTAGAACCGAAAAGGGGAATTATTATACTCTGCCACTGCTAATTTTTGAACTTTCCCTCCCTCGGAAGTATGCTTTTTGTATATCTGGAAGTCTTCCTTCTGTACGGACAGAAATATGCAACAAAGGAACACGGAAAGGGAAACATGAAAAGGCAGAAGGCCTGAGAAGCGGAGTAATCTCTTCCCCGAGGTAAATCAGATAATAAAAAGGCCAATGGGAATTCATGACAAAACTAACTACTAAAATTTCAAAATAAGTAATGCCTAAAAAAATGAAAAACTCAGCTGGCACGATACTCTCAAGGGAATTTTCATCCCGAAAATCCAGGGGAATATTGGCGAAAACTGATGCCTAACATTCCAAAAAAAAACAAATTCAATAGCCCTGTTTTGAAATGCAAACTCACGCAACACATTTAGCATAATGAGAGTTTTTGCAGAAATTAAACAGGCAAAATTCAAAAAGAATAATCCACCTGAATGTCTGCTTTGAGATTGTAAATGAGAAATTGGGATTGTTGTAGATCTTCTTTCAGCAGATCTCGTTCACATCGCAGCTCTTCAGCTTCAACAGTATTTGTTGCTCCCTCTGTGCTCGCACTTGAATTCTGGAAATTCGATCAAATTTGCCTTTTCAAAAGAAATCATCACTAAAAAAAAAAAAAAAA